CAGATAAACGCTACAGCGGGACGCGGGGGACAACTATTCGCGACAGTTCCTCGATACAACATCAATGGCCTTCCCTATGAACGGAACTAAATCGAATCGGGATAACGGGCCCCGAGTCTCCGAGGAGTTCGGTGGAAATCGACGACTTAGCCTGCCTCCCGGAGCACGGAAAAGGGGGAGCTCATAATTTCACGATCGATCGTCCCGCGGCCGACCCTCGCGAACACGATCGTCGTCGCCTAATAACCCCCCCGCTCCGGCATAGGCCTTCCCTATGAACGGAATGAAATCGTATCGGGAGAACGGAACCCCCTCCCCGAGTCTCTGATGAGTTCGATGGGAATTAACAACTTAGCGTGCCTTCCGAAGCGCGGAGGAGTGAGAAATTGTAAGTTTTCAGATGAAGTAAAGTCCAATGGTGGTAATTTGATAAAATTAAATAAATATGATTCAATCAGATATCGGCCCTGGTGATGCCATCTAGAGGCACTCGACGACGATCGCGACTGTATCAGTTTTTGCTGGGCAAAGTGATAACTGGTACAAAAGTGCTCTGCTATTCTACATATCTATCAGTGCTATCAATAAACAAGATTACTCAGATGCTCCTAGTCTTCAAAGTAAATTTACGTTAAAATTGCATTTTTAGTATTATACTAGCTTTTGCCCGCGACCTCGTCCGCGTGATATAGTTACTTTGGGCATCATATTTTCCAAAAACGCTGTTGTTTTTTGAGCTGATAATGAAATTACCTTGATGTCAAAGTTCGAAGATAGTACAACAAAATACCAACGAATGTCCAATATGTTTCAGCACTTTATCTTTGAAACTTTAGTGATATTAATCCAATTCAATGCAATTCGAAATAAAGATGAAAAAAAAAAACAGTTCTGAAGTTTACACAAAACTTAATCGAAAACGTAATCTACGCAAAATTCTTTGAAAGAAACATTACCGCAGATTACTTTAGAATAAACGCCATCTAGAACACAGCGCCATCTATTGGGTGTATTTGCAACCTAGATGTCAAACGATATTGAAGAATTTCATCTATGAATCACGGTACACCGCCATCTATGAGAACTTCATAAAATTAAACAGTAAATAAACACTTGCTTAAGAAACAATTCATTAGTACATCTAATTAGTTTACATTCACGACATAGCGAATAATTGAGATGACAACTATCCTATCCAGTAAGTTAGACCAAAATACGGGTACATGTGAAATTTGATTGAAATCGGTTCAGTAGTTTTGGAGTTTATTGGCAACATACATCATGACACAAAATTTTTATATATATAAGAAGATATATACAGAGAATGAGCAAACCTCCTACCGTCTAGGAGTAAATATTAGTCTATTAATACTAATCCCAGTATCAGCGTTAATTTACTCCATCGCTAAACCTTGTTTATTATTATTATGTCTACGTTCCCCTCATACCGCCCACTTACCATTGTGAATCTCTGCAAGCTCTGCTGTATTTCCTTCAAGGTGGCGTGTCTGAACCGCATCGATATGGATTGGTACCAGGTGCTGATGGACGCCGCGAACGTGATCGCGTGTAGCGTGTGCCACGCGCGCCTCACTTGCGCGTCGCACACTACGCACAACATGTTCTGTAGACACAGAAAACATGTATTTTAAAACGAAAATAAACTTCATCCAACTTATTTGATGAAAAAGGGTAGAGGAGAGAAGGGTGAAGGAGATAAGAGGGAAAGGATGGTGAGCCCTTCCGCAATTTAAATTGCTAGAAAAACAAATTTGCATTTCGTTTTGGTTCAAGTTTTATTGATTTAGGCATAATTAATATCTTCGTTAGTAAGTGTTAAGGTTTTTTATTATGATAGAATAGAGATGACATCTAATTTTATTTGTCCATCTGTTTTCATTCTTCAGATTATTGAACAACATGAAATATAATTATTCTATTTTTTGCATAATAAACAAATTACAGCAATATACAAATTTTTGATTAAATTTTCTATTATTATTGAACTTGTTTATTTTTAAGTTTATTTAATATTCATTAATTGTCTTATTTACTGATAATACATGTACTATTTAAGTGTTGTGTGCAGCAGTTATAGGAAGGCAAATAAGCAATAAATTAATTAATTATGCCTAATTGTAAGCATGTGATCTTGATTTGTTTTCTGTTGCTGTACCAAAATAAAATAAATAAATAAAAATAAAAACATTGAATTGAAATGACACATTTTTTGTACATTTTCTACAAAACTGTAATGTAGCGAGCCCCCACTCCTCAACTTTAATGTCTGTTATCTAAGCCATTTCTTGTTGAAATTGAAGCAAAAATATGTATCTAATAATTTTTAATTAACTTACTGATGGACTAGATACAATTTCTTCTATTTCACCCAGCCATCATTCCCTATTAATTTAAAGCTAAAATAATAGGCTTCAGTCTGGCTTTGAAAGTGTAAATTTTTTTTATTATGATAGAATTAAGTGAAAGATAAAAATTGTATTCAGATTTAAATATAAGTTTACCAGAGTGCAACATTGCCTGAACTAATCATCTATACTAATATTATAAAGTGGAAAGATTCAATTGTTTGTTTGTTTGCATGAAATAGATTCTAAAACTACTGGCCTGATGCAGTTAGGATTGAGTTATGGTCCATTTACATGTAGCCAATAACCGAGGCAATCCATAATCCAGTTTAGTATAGGTCTTGTGTAAAATGGAGAAAATCCTCAAGTCAGTCTAATGAAATAGAACTAATTTTGTTGGATTGTCCCAGCAATTGGCCTCATGTAAATGGTCCGTTAATGTTACTATGGAGCTGTCTCTCACAGACGCACATTCAGCTAAGGGCTCTGCAGAGGTCAATGGGCAGCTTTGGAAACATATACACAAATAAGAAAACATATAAAACTTTTGGAGGAATTTTAAAACATCTTTTGTTGGTAGAATTTGTAATATGAACTATCTCTACTTCGTTATTTTACTTACGAAAGGGATCCGGTGCCGGAGCTTCTTCGCACACAACACGAAAGTCTCCGATTCCACCAGCTTACTTTCAGTGCGAAGACAAATGGCACAAAATTGTAAGCGGCTGGCAAGTACCTCGTGAACTATCTTACTTATTTCTTCCGCCGCCATCATGACAGTTTGAAAATAAATCAAGTTTTTGAGACGAAGTTTTGTTTTTATAAAATTATTCAATGTGAACACATTTCTTCTTGAAATTCGCTTAAGTATGCAGAAAAGAAAACAAACAGACTTCGGAAGTCGGAATTGTGACATCGGATTTTTATTTACAAAGGCAAAGGGCACTTATCCATACAGCGTAGTCTACATTGATGTTGGACTATCAAAATTTTTGAAGTATATACCTATAGATTCAGAAAGAAGCTAAAGAAAAATGCAGTAATACTGGGAAATTGACAGGAACAAATTTAGAAATAACATTTGGCAGATTTTCTTCTTTTAACTTAAACATCTTTTTTTTGGGATCTGGAAGACAGTTATATTGTTCATAGTATTTTCAAAACACTATTAATCACTAGTGTATTGACTGATACCAATGAAATTTTATTTTAGAGTAAGGAAGCCAGTAAGAGGGAGATGATCGCGGTACGCCAGCTGTCTGATTATAATGTTACATATTATATTTAATCACTTAAAAATACTTTTGATATTGAAATTGTTCTGATTCTATTATGTATTTGAAAACATACTGTATTTCAATTTGCATGCGCGAGTAAAGAGAAACTATAATAATGAGTTACCGCGATCACCCCTCCCTCTCAAACGGCGTTACATTTCTATAAACCTTCCTTTTGAATCACTCTGTTTATTTATGAAAACTGCATTAAAAACCGTTGCGTAGTTTAAAAGTAATCGACTTATGTGTAATACAGGATTGTGCGGGCGACTAGTAATTAAAAAAAAAAAATTTTTTTTTTTACTAGTCGGAGCTCTTTCCGCTACGCCAGCTGCTGGTTGGTAAACTTGTCAACAATTATAGCTTATATGGTGAAAAAGTCGCGAAAAAAAATTTTTTTTTCTAAACTCTTGGCCATCTGGAGTTCCCACTTTGGGTAATTTTATCTCTAACCCAGTCCTACATGTCCTATAAATTTGAGCGAAATCGGTGATGACGAATAGGGAATGCCCCCTTGTAAATATAATTATAATAAAACTGCTGGGAATTTTTTTTCTAATATTTTTAGTGAATCATACACCCTCTGTAGCTCAAACTTTCATTATTATTCCCATCAAAACATTTGTTAGATGTTAAAGCGAAAGACTAGTTGTTGTTTGTGCACCTAAATGTCAGTTATTATAGGGAAAAATAAAACACCTTTAACAGACAACTTAATATAATTATTATGCAAAAACATAAAGCTGTAACGTACTGGTAACACTTAAACATTGCAAACGCAATGGCAACACACATTCAGGCTTATTTATTTATTAACCAATCAGAATACAGGATCTATATATTTCAAAAAAATTGAGTAATTAAAGGTGGAGCGTCCGTAGATATTTTACGGAAATGGTATAGAAGATACAAGACTATACATAAACGCAAATGCCCATCCTCAATATAAAGATCATTGCAGTCTATTTTTTTCCCTCTCTCTCTCTAACCAAAGGAGTTCCTTCAATTATAACTCTATGGACGCCCCACCATAATTCTCATTTTAAACAATTAAACATTTCATTGAGTTAATGGATACGAATGCCAGATTAAATTTCATCATCAGCCCCATCACGTCCCTGCAGTGGGGACGGCTCACGCCTTCCTTATGAATGGTCAATAATGGGCCCAATGCGGATTGGAGGGTAGTGAGACGGAGTAGCAAGAAATATATATACATTTTTTTTTTCGGTCACCCATCCCGTGATAAACCATTTGGAAAGTTGCTTAACAACAACTATCGCGTAAACCACTTCGCCAGCGAGCTACTGATTTTCAGTTCGGTGGCGAAGTGTATATGAGAGATATACATAAGCGATATAAAAATATACAATCAGGATATCTCCTAAGCGTTACTTTTTTGTGAAACCTTTAAAATTAACAACGTCAAGTGAGATCAAACTACAGTATCACGCATCATGAATTTACGTTACACGTAAACCAATGGTTCTCAAACTTTAAAACAGCCCCCTTATGGACCCCCTTATAAAAAAAATCTAAATATTTACAGGGTACCCATAAAATAAAATCGTACTATTTATTGATAACTAATAACATAAATTTTATTTTATATAAAAGTAACATAAAAAATATATAAAATTATTAGAATTACAAATGGCGGGTTTATCACTTACAAGCGATCTCTTCTTAGCAACCGTCGAGATCGAATTGAGGCAACTATTAGCGTAGTTTGTCGTGCTGAAGCAGCTCTAAATCTTTTGCTAAAATATGTCTTGGGAATTATCTATATAGTGTTTTATTTTGGGATGGAACAACATGTCTTTATACTCTGATACATGCCAAAATCTAAAATATCTAGAGGAAATCATTATTTTAATATTTGAAGGCACCTTGTCAAAGATAGCAATTAGGTAATGTAAAAAACAAATATTATATTGCACACTTTGAGAGTCACTGACGTACAAATCTGTCGAATGCATGTCTATACTTTATAATCAGTCTTATTTCAATGACTATAAGTGTAAAATACAACGCACTGAGCTCCCATTAGCCGATATCCAAATCCATCGATGGGAAATAATACTTGTGTTTCTGTAACTCCATGAGAATATGTAATATCCGCCATTATGTGATACGGCAGCCTTCGCTGGCGCCATCTTGATTATCAACTTTCTCTTTGTTACTTGAGTCATCAGCCTGTCGAGGGAAAAACGAGTTTTTATACAGGGTTACATATTTATACAGGGTTATATATTTATACAGGGTAAACTTTAATTTATCAATTTAAGCATTTTGTAGACACATTTAATTTTACACAAACGATTATAAGGGACATTAGTACAAGGGCACTACTTTTTTAAATTATTTAAGAGTCCACAATTCTTTTCTTTCGATTTACGCCCGTTTTCACTAACCTAGAAAAAGGCATAGCTTAACTAGGTCAAAGTCAAAAATAATCTTTATTCAAATATATTTCTTAAAAGTACTTTTGAATCGTCCAACAATCTCCTAATAAGATTAGTTTAATTCCAAATTAACCGCGTTATGACCTTTCAAGATGACGCATAACGCAATAACTTTAGACGTTGCTTAATGTCCTTAGCTGATTCCTAGTCAACGGTGAAATGTATTTGCACCTTCGCGATTCTTTAATATTTAGGCGACTCCTAAGTTTAATGAAAACTGGGACTAATATCGTTTAAAGAACATATGTATCTAAAAAACATATGTATTGTAAAAAAAACGATTATAATTATACATAAAAATTTTACTGAATTAAAACTGAATAAAAAATCCTATACCAGGAAAGATCAGATTGTTTGTTTGCTTGCAATGAATAGTCTCCGAAATTACTGGACCGATTTTAAAAATTCTCTGACCTACGGGAATCTACATCATATTCGGTAGAAACAGGCTATATTTTATCCCGAAAAAACAGTAAATAATGAGACGAAAATGTTAGGGGAAGTTTGTACATGGAATACAAAACTTTACCACAGTAACCATAGTTTATTATACAATTTGTCATTGAATTATATCGGTATCATGATATCTAATATCGATATCATATTAAACAGTTCCCTGGGGACCACGCGGACAGAAAGCAAGTATAGTATATAGCCAGTATATAGTCAGTACAAAACGATACTCACAAGACTAGAGTCGCTATTGGTCAGAGTCGGCAGCGCGCTAATTTTACCGAACAATCGCTTTATACCGAAACGTGGAGGCGTCCGTGGACGATCGTTCGCTCCGCTCGCTTCTACCGCTTGCATCGCTCGCCGTTTTTCATCAACGGGCTAAAATTAATAATAGAATAATCAGGCTCCATTGCTTCTTATTCGGTAGGTGCTAATGATTGATTAAGCAAGGACGATCTCACAATGAAAAATTTTCGGTCACCCATCTGATAGCAGGCTTCTACGAAAATCGCTTAACTTCCGTAATCAAGGATTTAACGCGCCAACGACAAGTCAATGCCTGTATATCTCTGCTAATACTAATTATCAGTGTTAATAATTACTTTTCACAGTCACTTATACAATTTATACTGATTATTTTTCTAATTTTGCGGATAGAAATATGTAGATATGATCGTAACAGCTACGGCTTGTAGGAAAGCCGACAGGGTCACAAGCTTCAATTTGACATTAGAAAGATATTCACAAATTTCTACAAACGTATTGCGATTGTGACGTTTTATTAAAGACATTGAATGAACGATATAGTTAGACGCAAATATTGCTTTAAGTTGCTCAGTTTTTATTGTGTTTTGCCATAACAATCATCATTCGTTCCGAAAGCGATTTAAACGTTAGATAATAACATAAATTGCTTTAACAATCTCTACACCTTTCAAAGGGCAGCTGCAAACAGAAATATATATACATTATAAGTGCCACTGACCTCTGTAACTTGGGCGGAGTGCACACGCGCCGCGGATATATCAGGGCCAGTGTTGGAGCGGCATGTGATGTCGACAGTACCGTTCCTGTCGGCCGACACGCGCGAGTAACTCGCACACGCGGGCTCCTCTACAGTGCCTATTTATTATTAATTTACAATCAAACTAATTTACACCCTGTATACACAAAATGATAAAACTATTTTTCGTATAAATTAACATGACACCCGAAGGCCTATTTTATATCACCGCAAAATAAATTTCGTGTAATATTTCGTGCAATACGACTTAAAAAAAACTCATTTTTCTATAATTTATGATGCATCTAGAAAGTAATTTAATACACTTTATAGATATGTTATGACATGGAAAATATTATCATAAGGCAGTTTTAATTTTTCTCGTTATAACCAAGTACTTACCGTACGTATAACTACACGTACTAGCGGGGACAGTGTTTCCGAAACCCGCGGCCGCCCCCGCGGGGGGCAGCGACGGTGATACGTTCCGTTCCAAGCATTTTAAATATTCCTTTATTTCCTCCGCCCGTTCCATGTATCTGAGTGAAATCATGTAAAATAAATTAACCGCCCCATGTATACAGGGTAATTATAATATTACCCTGTATAAGGAAAAGATTTTTATAATTTAGTAACATTAATAGATCGTTTTTATCTAAAAAATGAAGATACGAGAAAAATCTACGATACCATTGCTAACCAACTTTCGTGAGGACCGGTCATAGGATGGGTGATCAAAAAAATATTATCTCTCACTCTTCAATGCTTTGGAAGACACTTAAGACAGTTAAGACAAACTAATATGTATGTTAATATAAATGTCTGTATGTAGTCGTGTATTTATACCAGTGTATCAGAAACTGTTGAATGTAGCATTTAAATATGAAAAATAGTAAATACATTACGTATAATGTGTTCTCTTATTAAAGTTGTTACATATAACTGTTAAAATTTTATAATGTTAATTAAATTTTAGTGAAAATATTAAATAAAAATAATATTCGAAAAAACTAGTTATATATCTATATACTACAGACTAAGTATTTATAAACAAAGACAAACAGAGAAGATATGTAAGGCTCAGCTTATATTAGATTGAAATGTTGTAAGATACTCCTTCGGTTTATGCTAGCCTGGTACTTTGTGTCGTTAGTGGCTCGCGCGACGGATTGAAAGGTGTCCATCTCTGAGGTTCCGGGTTCGATCGTCGGTCGGGTCAATCGAGAAGTATTTTTCTATATTATTTCGAATCTGGGTGTTGTGATATAAATAGATAACCAAATAAACAGTTATCTAAGGAAAGCTAGTTATATGTACACCACAGACTAAGTATTTATAAAGAAAGACAAAAAGTTAAATTCAAAGTTAATCTTTTTTCAAATACACTTCTTAAAAGTACTTTTGAATCGGTCGACATTTTCCCTACCACTCGTTCAGGACGTCTTTTGGCCGATAAGAAGAACGAGCAAGAAACTCACCAGCTCTAATGGGAGTAATGATATTCACAAAAACCATGTCATTACCAGATCAATACATTATAAATGAAGAGAGAAGAAAAAACCTACGGACAAATGGAGAAGTTAAATCAGATCGAAATTTTGAAAGATACTCTTCTGGTTTATGCCAGCCTGGTACTTTGTATCGTTAGGGGCTCGCGCGACAGCTTCACCTCTGAGGTTTCGGGTTCGATTGTCGGTCGGGTCAATTGAGACGTGTTTTTCTACATTATTTAGAGTCTGGGTGTCGTGATGCTTTCGTTGTTTAAGATATACTTTAGCTACTCATACTGAAAGTCTGGGAAATATATGTGCTGTCGCCTAATATTTATTTACAATTTAAATCGACCTATTTGAAATCGAAATATCGATTTTAATAGTTTTACAAGAATGGCAACCGAAAGTATATTAGGGTCAAACCATTCAAACGTTTAAGTTGGAGGGACAACGATAGGTACCCGACAGATAGGGATGCCCGGAGTGAAATCGACAAACAGTGCCGCCAGAGTTATCTGTCTTTCTTCCTTTAATAATACATTAACATATTAAATATTTTTATAATAATATAGTGTAACGTGTGCAACATTCGAACGAGCTGGGTAGTTTACAATTTATTTACAATAACATAATGTATCATATTTGGTACGATGTGTCAAATATGGGACGGTATATGGTTTTAAGCAACCGCTGACCTGGTGAGCTTATCGCTGAGCGCGCCCCTCCGTACGGCGTCGGGCTCCGCGCGGGCGCTGGGCACGAGGTGGCGCAGGCTCGCGCGGTACAACTCCAGGGCGCCCCGCAGGAGCCCTACGCGGGCGGCCGCGTCGCTGCACGCCCGAGCGCTACCGTCCAGTTGGACCGCGCGCGACATCAACGCGACCGCCTGCAGCGTACCACACACGGCGTTATCGACCCTGTACGGTTTAGCCGCACATAGCGCGCGGTCAGCCGCTAAGTTCAATGCGCTCAATAAATAAGGAAACTATTATTATTATTGCCAGCATATTTGAACATAGCACACTTTAGAATGAAATATACATTATTAAATAAGTATCGATCTAACTGTAACAATAGTGACATCAAATAAACTCTCATCACCAGCCCTTTTACGTCCCCACTGCAGGGACTCAGGCCTTCCTTATGGATGTTTAAGGAGGATGGGCCGTGACCCTCCACGCTGGCCCGATGCGGATTGGAGGGTATCGACGTCCTGCAAACGCAGCCGGGACCGACGGCTTAACGTGCCTTCCGAAGCACGGAGTAGCTCGAGATAATAATTTTATGGTCACCCCCCGTGACCGACCCTTGCGAAAGTTGCTTAACGACTACGATCGCTTATCCACTACGCCACCGAGCAATTAAACTAATAAATCTAAACTGTGAATTTTCTTAAAATACTTCGCATATACTTACAATTTCAACTCACGACTAACTTCAACTACAACTTATATAATTAAAATGTACGGTACACCATACTGTGTTAGCGTGATCAACTAAGCACTGCATCGTACAGTCACCCCTTGTTACAATTTAGACGACGGGAAGACTTTTTAAAAATGTATTTATTAAATAAACCTAGCTAAATCTTTCGTAGTTGGCGGTCGAGTGAGAACTGACTAATAATTTTACAGCGTCCTATTTATATTCAGTACAATCAGGCATATGATGACGTCGTGGGAACACAAAGGGTGTCTTAGATCTTAGAACAGATGACCCTTTTCAAATAGATAATCATAACGGTTATGGTTTCCCATAGGAAAACAGATGCCTATTTGTTAACAAATTAATAAATGAACTTAGTATGTCAAAAGATTACGAAATGATAATACAAACAATGGGAATATTGATAGTTAATAGTTATGAAACTATCCTAGCTTCAAATATCAAGGGTTTAACACCCTCCCCCCATAATGACCAATTTTACCCTCACTTCGAAGTCAGACCGAATGTATACCGTTTTATTTTCGCTTAGAACAGGTCTCGAACTCCACAACGAGGTGGTCCCGTTTCTTTATATTAATATTGTAAAGAGATAAACGAACACGAAAATTCTTTCCCTCCCGGAAGTTCTATCGACCGCGAGGGATGAGGGTTATAATTTACAGGTGCGAAGTCGCGGGAGAACGTCTAATTCTTTTCAAGGTTCAGAGCTATCAAGTTAATTACATAATTATCCGATTAATGTCTCATAATTATCTGCAGTTCCTGGCGACAATTTTTAAAATAGAAAGGCATCCATCGTTGTCTAAACTTTTGTTTTTCCTGCTTTTAATTATAATAATGCACAAAAAAGTAACCACAAAATAACATTGAACAAAAAGTGAATTGAATATATAAATAATTAAATATTTTTAATAAAAAGAGGGCCTTTAAAATATTTTGTTTGGTTTTTGTATGTCCAGTTTAGACATTATTTTCTATAAAAAAAAAACATATTTAATAGTTGCTTAAACATGGTCTCCCTTTAACACAAAAAGAGTTTGTTTAATATTTTATAATTTTTTAAATAATTATCAAAGTATATTCATCTGGATAATTATATAGTAATAAAAATAATAATCAAACAGTATTAACTCAACCACGACTCTGTGTGGTTGAGTTCCAAAGTATCAAAATCTCTGAGATTCCAGGTTCGATTCTCACCCAGATTAATATATAAAAAAATAAAGTTTTCTATATTATCTCGGGGTTTAGCTATGTTATTATAACCCTACGTTACTACGTGAGATAGCTACTTATTTTGGAATCTGAGCAATGTATGAGATCTTATCTTATATATGAATAAAGCTAAAATCAAACCTTTAGAAAAAAAAGGACGAGATGTAGTCTAAATTATGGTAACTAACACGTTTTTTCTTCCTGCTTATCAACAAAAAAGTAAGAAATACAATATTAAGCAAACTGTGTGTAACTATGTCGACATATTTATAAAAATAAATAAAATAATATTACCTTCTCATAATTTTCTTTGCTGGGCATGTGTTCCAAGTCTAGATACTCGTGATTGAAGAAGTCTTCGTAGCTTATCCTCTCGTCAGGGTCATGCTTTAATAGACGACTCAATAAATCCCGACACCCAGCCGAAATTGACGAGTTTGGGGGGATCTACGAGACGGCAGCAATATAGTTCTAGTTAAATGACTTATCCATACTAATCGTTAATATTATTCGTGAGGATTAGTAAAAATAAGCTTTCTTTTTTTTTCAGATTTATATGCTATAATGATTTTAAGAAGTTATTATACTTTCATGCTAAAGTCGCTCAATTGATTTCAAATGTGGTATGAAGACAGTATGAAATCAGTTAAATTTTGAAAGCGGAAATCGAAGAAAAACGTTTGGAAAACTCTGATTTAAAGTGTAGTATTTTTTCTCACCTGTATCTTCTCCTGATTCTGTATCTTATCAACTAGTTCCTTGAATGTGTTCGATGAATATGGAGCTTTACCGAACAGGCATTCATACATTATAACACCTGTCGGAAACCATAGTTAGTTAATTCGATACTACGCACATCGAAAAAAATAGGAAATATTAAGGGTAAATTTGTAATTTAATTTTAAAGAGAAAATTTCATAAATAACATGTTAAGAGTGTGACAGGCGTAGACCTATTATATAGCACGCATGCCGTTAAACCAGTTTTTTTCAAAGACATAATGGATTTCACCAGTAAATGCAGCCAGAAATTTTCCATTGAAGTTAACTCAATTTTGCAAAAAAAAAATGACAGTTCGCAATGACTTCATATTTTAATGAAGTAATTTTTCAATCTTGACGCTCTGAATGAAATAATACAGGGAGAAAAAGTAGCCCTTGCCGAGTTTCTTGCTGGTTCTTCTCGGTACAAGGTCTCCCGACGTAGATTTACGAACCGATGGCTTAGCTCTCGACTTTCACAAGGGCTTGTGACAGCCTAGACTGAATAAATTTGTCTTTTTTTTGCAGAATATAAAAATTTGATAGATCAAAATCTATCGAAGTCAAATTTAAAGTGTAGTATAGACAATTCTTAATCGAGTTTAAAGAAGAAACAGTGTTGATTTCGTCGACATTTGAATACTAAGCATGCCATTTTCTAATAGGACATAGAGTCAATTGTACATTCTCACCGACGCTCCAGAGGTCGACTCTTGCGTCGTAAGCGCCCGCCAACATCTCGGGCGCCATGTACAGCGGCGACCCGCGCACGCCGCCGCCGCGCTCCGAACACAAGTACTGCGCGAACCTGCCCCACTCAAACATCGGTCAGACTCCAAAAGTGTAATATCTTTCATATTAACGGCGTAAAACTTTGTCGCCTAACAATCTGTCGCCGGCATTAGACGGCAGGCAGACGGCCGGAAAGCATCTAGTAGTGATCTTCCTAAACTACCGAACCGATGATATCGGGCAGTTGTCGTGTGGTTAGTTATCGTCCGATGTGAATACGCTCATAGGCAACATAGCAAGGTGGTTCGCGCGCCGCTCTCAAGATCCCAGATTCGATTGGCGATCGGGTCGAAGGAAAAATTACTTTTCCATATTGTCTCGTGTCTGGGTATTGTGGTATCTTCGTTGTCTCAGATACTCCATAATACGGGGGTTTTAGCTCATCATGTCGGAATCTGAGCAATGTATGTCATGTTGTTTAATATTTATTAATATTTTATATAGAAATGATAAATGTCAAATTTTATTATATATATTTACGAAGCGCAGAGCGGTTCGTCTACGCATTATGCGTCAATGAATCGCAATAAGACTGTTGAAACTACCAGTGCCATATAAGTACATATACATCAGTTCAGCGAAAAAGGGGCGGTCATTGGAGAAGAATCCCACTCACGGGTAGCTGTTCTAGAACTTGAACAAGATCGATCGGAAGCGAAACTCGAAGCGTTAACTAGTGCGATGAACGATTTAACATGTGATGTGTCATCAGTGACGTGAAATGGTGAAGTTGAAGTGTGAATTTTGTAGTTGGATTATCTTTATAATTGTATTGTGTTAAATAAAGTCGGATTGTCAACTATAATTTGCATTAATTTTTATCCTGAACCCTAAGTCGTAACAGTGTATCATATATGAAACATACCCGAAGTCGGCAACTTTTAGTGTATATTTCCCATCGGAGCCTTTGTGCAGTAACAAATTGTGAGGTTTCAGGTCCATGTGGACCACTCCTGGAATATTACGAAGGCCGATTTCAATAGGATAGTTTCGGTAGCGAAAAATAAATTATAAAATTCGACAAACCACAAAATGTACACTGTAATAACACAAAGATTCCGATTTTGAATCATAAAATCGCATCTTATTTAATCATTTTTTAATCTGTGTATCACGTGACCTGTAACATGACTTGTTGTGTTGTGATGTCATATAGGCAGAAACATTAATGCATTAGTCATAAACAGCCACATGTTTATTTTATCCATCTAGGGATAAATGTTTTTAATTTATAGCAAGATAGATGGCACTGTCTAACTCACGTCTTTTAATTTCTTAAATAATACACTCTATTCATCTGTTTTGTTTTGACTTTAAAATGAGACTAGACCTTTGGGAATGTCGTATAACATCATCAATTGGAACAAACACGGTTGTGATTTATTCAGTTTCAAATCACATCACATCACCAGCACTTTTTCGTCCTCACTGCAGGGGCTCAGGCCTTCCTTATGGATGGTTAAGGAGGATGGGCCATGGCCCAATGCGGATTGGAGGGTATTAACGACTGCAAATGCAGCCGGGACCAACGGCTTAACGTGCCTTCCGAAGCACGGAGTATCTCGAGATAATAATTTATGGTCACCCATCCCGTGACCGACCCTAGCGAAAGTTGCTTAACGACTACGATCGCGGGCCGCGGCGCTTATCCACTACGCCACCGAGCTCTTTCAAATATATTTATATTAATACCTTTCTCTCTGAGAAACTTAAGCGCTGACGCCAGCTGCTGAAGGAAATACAGAACCTGAAAACATTACGTCTATCAGCGAAGATATTAAACTTGTTTTGACAAAACATGCCTTAACTGTATAATAATATTTGATTAATCGATTCACAAGGCTATACTGAAAAAAAAAACATAAAAAAGTTTTCGTTTAAACTCTGTAAAAAGAAAAAAATATTTATTTTAAATTTAACTGCCAAGTTATTATAACACATTTTATATGATCATATAATCTTGTAGCGAGGCATAAGCACCTATTATTATTAAATTTAATTGAAATTTTAAAAATAATATTAACGGATTATCGATAGTATTTAAAAAAAGAAAGCACTAAAAAAGCACCTTACTAGATTCCGACTCTAGCAAAAGTAGATTTTCGCAGGAAACGAACGGACCAAAGACAGTCATTTCCGTTCCTTTTAACTAACAGTTCAAAACTTATATATCAATACAAATACGAAAAAGTACAAATAGAATATGAGTTGTCTATTGAGTTTTGAAAATTAATTTATTTTTATACATGAAAGAAAACCGGAAGGGTTGTCGTGTACAAATCAAGAAAGAACCGTAGCGACACCTAGTTTGATTAAGGGAACTAATGTACTTCCTCATTAGTACTAATTTATTTATATAAGAAAATCGCGCGACATGCTTTTATGATCATATAAATTGTGTATAATAAGGTTTTAAGTTGGTAGTTGAAATTTAAAAGGATTTTTTTCTTCTTTTTAGATTATTTATATAAAAGCTGAGGAACCTAGCAAAAATAAATAAACTTATTTTTTTTGCTTTTATTTACGTTTTTTACTTTTTAATTATCACTGGTTAGGTTCCTCAGTCTGTTCATCTCATTCAACGCGTAATTGTTGCCAGGTTGTTTGCCAGTTAATTTCCTTAACTTTTTAAAGCATAAAAAACTTCAATAGTACACAATATTGGATTTAGAGTGATGTCACATTATTTTTCTAATTATTCTCAGCAAGTCCTTTCATTTGATTTCAGTGGATTAAAAATTTTTAATCAAAAAACTTGGATGGTCCAGCATATTGGATTTAGAATGACGTCACATGACTTATTCATCCTTTTCTAAAAGTATGTTTCAGCTCAATCGGTGGAGCTTAGAGATTGCGATACCCAATGTAACAGGCGTGCGAGCCACTAATGGCATAAAGTACCAGGCTAGCATAAACCAAAAGAGATACTTTTAACATAAATTTTGTATTATCAAGATCTATGGTGCAACAAAAGCATGTTTTTAAAAGTATTATATTAAGTTAAACCTGTTTTTCTGGAACCCTGCCATATCTTTGAATATATTTGGACAGATCACCACCGCAGCAGTATTCCATAATTATATATATGTTTCTGTAACAACCACATAATTTAATATTACGAAAAAGTTTAAAAAAGCTACCTTTACCTTCTAATAATGTAAGAACATTATTAATTTTGTTTGATATATTTATTAATACACTTTCAACAGAATTGATGTTAAAAAAGTTTTAAACTTCTTGAGTAAAGTATGTTTGTGAGTTTCTATCCTCCACAAATATTAAAAGTCTTAACAAATATAAACGTATTGGGTATCTTTAAAAACGTTACATCATCTTCAGTGGCACTTTTTAAAGATTTTTTTTAATATTCAACCTAGTGGAGATCACTTAAACAATATGAAAAAACAATATTTAATTTAATTATAACAATACGATTATCAAATTAAAAGTCTTGAAGAGTTAATTCCAAATATATATACTTTATATACATTTACAGGTCACTAAAAGAAATAAAATACAAATATAAATAATTAAGAAATTAGAAAACAAATTATATTAATGAGAATTTTATGTAGCCAAGCCATAATACAACCGTTAATTATAATTTTTTATTATTAACTCAGAACATTAAAACTACAAATCCGAGTATATATAGTCTCAGTATGTTACTACAGTCATGGAAATCGTAAATGCAGTCAATCAACATATACATGCCTGTCGTCCCAAGTGAAATGTTTCATGTTTACAATGTGTGGATGAGTTAATGTCTTCAACAACCGTATCTCTGTGATGAGGTTGTCCACTGCTGATCCGGAGTTCTTTATACGAGATTTGTCTACACATTTCACTGCCACTATTGACCGAGCACCGACCTGCAAATATACGTTACGATCAAGAGATGAATAGAACTAGAGGTCAATAGTAAGATTTGATATTTTCAAACAATGATACATTGTAAAATATTAATTTAAACACAAAAAAACACTTTCTTTTTATACCATTTTAGAAATACTGATAGCTGAATGTTTAGATTTTGAAATAAAAGAGTTTATTTGATAAATTGAAAACAATTTGAAACATAAATTACTCAATAGTTGAGCAGGTTTAAAGCAATAATAATAAAAATATTATTATTATACTTTATTGATAAGATCAAATAAATATACATATAAAAATAATTTAAATGTTCTCCAACATTTATTAATTTTAATGAAGATAGTAGTACTACTTCTTAATAAGTAAATTAAGAATTATAAAAGAATTGGCTAATATACAAAATATTTTAGATCCTTCATTTATAAAAATAAATCTTTATCACACCAATCATTATTTAATGATAGTTACTATTTACTTAAATAGATTATATAAGATAACTAGACGTATCACAGAAACAGCCAGTTAATTATAAAATAAACAAATAAACACACTCGCAAATTATTTGCACAAAAGTTTATGAAAGAACCATTTCTCCACCTTAGTATATGCCTTGTACACTGTAGAATAACTTCCAGAACCAAGTTTTTCAGTAACAACATAACCTTCTATTTTTGGAAAAGTCATTGTTAACGATTATGAGCCATTTGTCGATTAATATGTAATAATTTTTTTATGAAATAAGCGCACTTTCTTATCACAATCTAATACGTCAGTCAAGTCAATATTTGTTATGACAGATAATTATTTTTTAAATATCAATATTACTAGTTGGGCAATAGAATCCATTTTTCACAGCCATATTCTTAATAAAAATGTTTTCTTTGTTTTTAACAGTTACATATGTTTAATTAATGTAGTGTTTTTATTTTGTATTTGTAACAAATTATATGTAAAGAAAGAAAGAAAGAAAATTCATTAACGTTGGCACTTATTATTTATGAGGGACTGTTTGGTGTGATATGTTTGGAGCGTAGCTTGCATATTTCCACTTGTAATGTCTGTATCCCCATTATCTCACTAGGTTCTATTCTGTCTAATGGTATTATATCAGAATGTTTATGCTTCAAGTTCTCAACACATTTGCTTGAAAAAAAAGTGTTTACAAAAACCCTAACTAATTTTCTGAAATTTTCAAATTAACGAGGTACCTCAACGAATAAGCCATGTCACAGCATCACGCAATTTCATCTTACAACGATATGATATAAATTTTAAGTATTTGTTCGATCTTGTCATTATAGAAATAAGCTTTATGCGAACGACTTAAAATTGACATTGCTGCACTAGGTACTACTATGTTTATTAACAGCAAGGATTTCACTAAACGAACTAGAGTAAAACCGACCTTATTTATTTGTCATTACGATTCATGACATTGGGCAGATTTAACAAGAATGCAACGTGTTATAACGCAAACATGAAATGTAATGGAAACGTTAAAAATCGCTCTTGCCGCTCTAGTAATAAGGTTGTAGTGGAAAGTAAAGATGAGTTTATGTAAAGGATGCTGCAATGCTCTTCATAGGCTCTGGCAGTTTACAAAGCGGGCTCTCGGCGATTAGCCGCCAAAAAGCGCGGGAAAGTTGACAGATCATTGTTGTAGTTGGCATTAGGTGGTGATTGTTTTGTTTTCTTTTTATGTCAAATAAACGGACAATTTGTTTAATGCCATAAATTGAATTAAATGAAAGATTGCAAATATAAAGGTATTAAATAAAAGACTAAAAAATTAAATATAATTAATAAGATATTTATCAATAAAATATAAAAGTGATTTTTACGTGTATTAAGTTGAATTAATAATAAAAAAACCGCTTAAGGTTCCTCGCTAGCATTAAATAAATAATGAACATTTGCACTGATACTATAAAGAGGAGAAATTTGTTTGTTTGTTTGCATCGAATTGTCACCGAAACTAAACCGATTTAAAAAATTCTTTCACCTACGGGTAGCTGCATCGTTAGCGGGTGACATGTTCTATAATTAACGCGGGCGAAGTCTCCGAA